ATAATGAATTATTGGCACTCGTATGCGCGTATTAGAATATATTCCATTTGTCCAATTTACCATCGATAGAGATAAAAATCTATATTTATACGAGCTAAAAGTTGTGAGATAGTAAGATAATAAATATCTAAGAGAAGTATGCTTTTAGAATATTTCTTTATATTTCTTTCCGATCGCAAATGCGCTGCAATTTGAAGCGGATGTTACGATACCGATCGATCTGTTACGTGAAGATTGTTCTCGAGCAATCGTTACTAAATCAAAACCCTTATCGAAGCTTAATATCGCCCGTTCCCAGCAACTTTCACAGATCGAGGGGCGTGTAATCGCCATCCGATCGAGATCCATGAATCTGCGCAGGCAGGCACTGTCTGAAGACTCCCCGTTCCGCAGATTGTACCATAAGGATACTGCCTGACGCGAAAAAGAGAAATCAAGGGTAGCTGGCAGAATAATGAAAGAGATTCCTCGACAGCCGGTGGTTGCGCACACCAGAAGGTGTTTAGAAAATAAAAACCACCAGATATTCGACTGGAGTATCAGAAAATGGGACGAGTAGTATGAATTTTAAAGATGTGAAAAATTGCAGCATAATTTAGACGACAAAAGAAAAAAAGCGATTATTATTGTATAACAATGCAGAAAATGATTGAATAATTTAACGCCTAATGTTTAAAACAACGTTTTGTGAAAAGATACAAATTATCTAACCTAAAGAAATTATTTATGTCAACGGGAGTGCAATATTCACTTAATTATTTAATGGGAAGGATGAAGTAGCGTGACCTGATAAAAATACATCGACAAATGGACCGAGAAAGGGGATCGCGGAAAAAAATTAAATATATCGAAGAAGAAAGATTGAGAGAGCCGGGGCTCAAGGCCAGATGCGAGATGTACAGACGGAACGGAAGGAAGCACTTTTTATTATTTTTGTTGCGCGCGTCTCTTTTCGGGCCCTCGAGAGTGAACGAGAGTGCAGAAGGGCATGGGAGGAGGAAGGAAGGAGGGAGAGCGGAACAGTCCGTGGTGGATATGCGAAGCCTAAGAACGAGGGAGGCAGGAGCTTCCTGTCCCGCATTCGAATGTAAGATCGCGTCGCTGTCACGTGTGAGCGTGCGGACGCGGACACGTGCATAGGGAGGAGGGATACGCGTACGCGCGTATACGCACAATGAGACTTTTACGTGCCGGATTAGTTCCCCCCGGATTTAATCTCTCTGTTTGAACAGGAACTTGAACAATTAATAATGAGACCTTCACCGAATGCACGGTCTTTCATCTCGCGGGACAGGATGTCGCCATGATTGTCGTCGTCATCATCGCTCGCGTCTTTTTGCTCAAATAACGTTCCTAGATTAACTCTTTGTTTCTCGTCCGGATATCAAGTCGGAATTCGAATTACAAATTGAGTTTCTCACAGTCGTGCTGAAAAAAAAAAATTGAATAATTTGTTCTATCGACAACTTGATCACGAGACTCGAAACAGTCAAGCGATGGAAGCACATCGATCAGTCTAGGTCTAGCAATTAGAGCGTCAATTTCGACAATCTGTCGTTTGTCCACAATTTTTTCCGCTCCTAGAGCATCGCTCTGTGTTTAGCGTAGGAGTCCTAGCGAAGGGAAGCCACCGGCGTCTAGGGCGTCGAAGGGAACGGGCTCCCACGGAAAGACCGATCGGCAGAAGCCAGCGGCGGCTACACGGGGCAAGAAGAAGAAGAAGCTGCAGCCGCTCGCTTTTTGGGGCCCCTTCAGCTCGCTCAGCTGCCGGACCTTCCCACGCTGCGCGTATGCACCTACCCTACCCTATCACCTACCCACCTTACTACCTGACTCGCGCGCGAGCGTGTATGTATACACGCGCACCACGTGTATCTCGATCGCCTCGCCGTGTGAGTGAACTACACGCGCTACGCTACGCAACAGATGAAAACGTGAATCGCAAACGAGCGCGCGAGCGTGCATGTGCGTCAAGTACGTGTGCGTCTCTAAACCGGGCCCATTTTATAATCACGTGTCGACGAACACCCTCTTCTCCTACACCGTGCGGGAAGAAAAGTTTCTTCTCCATCAAAGCGAGGGAAGAACGATTTCGAATGAAATTAAATTCACCGGACGAATGTCACTGACGGTTTTATGTCACTCGCCGTGACATGGATTCTCCCATGCTCTCATTGTGTCCACAAATTTACAACTTAAATAACATCCAATTTATCATTGTGCAAGTAAATTTTTACACTGGTTTGTGCGATAAGTAATTTCGGATTGAAATAAATGTATCTACTTTTTTATCGGGCGTAGTTTGATCAACACATCCCAGTATTCTGTCATAAAAATATAATCTTTACTTCTGTTCTACTGGCAACTAGCATTGTCGTCATTATCATTGTCGCAATACAATTTCACTGCATTGCGCATCGCTTATTCTGTTATTAGCGAGAATACGATCGCCTCCCGAGAATGTGATCGCTTTATTACTCGTTATTACTTCCTTATTCGTATACGCACGCGCGCGATCGCGAGGAATTGAAATGAAAAATATTTATAAGCACTCCGTACACGGGCATTACACACGCGAATTCGCGCGCAAGATCGCCGCTCGATGCTCACCTGCTGCATACGTACGAGCTACCTGCGAGTGAACCGGCTCATCTGTTCCTTTAGGAGACCGGTGTCCGTGAAAGAGCACAATCTGGCTTGGAATATAAATTTGGTGGAGCACACACACGCGCACATAAACGCGAGAGCGCTAAGGATTTCGGAAACATCTTATTCCCTTTTTTGAAAAAAAGAAAATATAAAAACTTGATAATTAATTTTCTTATAGAACTCACGGTTAAAAAATCTAGAAAATCTTGAAAATGTTACTTTATGTGTTTCTGACATATTAAAGAATAATTAAATTTTAAGAAAAGCTCTAAGCTTTTGGAAGAGACAGAAACTAAGAAGAGTGAGAATTTTTTTAATGCATTTAGATGAAATATATATGTGTCGCTAAAGTGCGGCGTATATCCGTATGTGGGAGCATGCAAGAAGGCAATCGCGAATGCAGCGGGTGCCGCGGGTGCATCAAGCGGCGCAGGATCCTTTCGCAGAACTCCCCGCTCCCACGCCCAAACGCTTCACGATAATGTAATTCCTTTTAACCCCGCTGAACCTCGAAAACCGTGGGACGCTGCCGTTTGCTGCGGATGCTGGTGCAATCTGGACCCATGAGCAGACTGCATCTTTTCTCTCCTTCGTCTTCGTTATCGGCGCTTGTTGCAATTACGAACGGGGTGATAAGAAAAGCGCAGTAACTCTAGCTTGTAATATCGTTTCATGCATGATTTATGCTAGGAAACAATAGTTCTCAAGCTTTTGTAATATAACTTCTTTCCATTTTTGCAATATAAATTATTAATATAACTATTTTTGAGCAGTAATTTATACTTTAAGTAATTTTAATTGATAAATAAATTTAATTAAACGTACGTCAGTGATTGAAAATGTAAGATTCAATTTTCAATGCGTAATCATTCAGCTGTAGACTTGAAAAGATTTTTTAAAACCTTATGAAGACGAAGGAGGAGACTTGTCAAAAGTAAAATACCGTTTGTGCATTTCCGATCTCACGATGGCTGTCGAAAATAAAAATCTTGCTGCATCCGGTGTTCTCTTTCGTGCGGAAGATCGAGAAAAAAAAACAGGACAATGAAATTCTCATCAATTGCGTGTAACGTACGGGACGGTTAATTGCCGTTGAGAAACGAAAGTTTTGGCTCAGCCAAAACATTGCGCTCGTTAGAAAGCCCGGGCATAACTTCTGTTTACTGAAAGGAATCGATTTCTCGATAGACGCTCGCGCCGCAAGCATTTCGCGAGCAATTATCTTCAACATAATTCTCGCTTCGCTAATTTTGTATTTTATCCAAAGAATTCTCTTTTTTAATTATCGAAACAATATAATTAATATTGTAAACAACGATACGTTTTTTACTATATATTATCCCACTCTTTTATAGGCGAATAAACAAACTAAAATATAATTGCATTTCTTTCTAGCGTTGCTGAAAATATTCACTTTCAAGATTGCGTTACGATAAAAGATGATAAATACATCGTCGGCATCGTGGCGAGGGATTTCTAAAATTATATCGCATCGCGCGCGACTTACATATTTTCCCCGAAATCTCCTTCCACTTTCAGCGCCCACATGTGCACGCTACGAAAATATCTGGGAGACGCGGTTGCATTACCTGCGTAGACTGTAGACATGCTACTGTTACGAAAGTCGCGTGATCGCGCGCGAGTTTTCTGCCGCCGGTCCTGGAGAACTGTTTCTCTCCCCAGGTTTCGCCCGGGCTCGTCCATCTCCAGTGCTAATACATTTCGCAAGGTGGGGATACGCGCGAGCGAGAGTATAAACAACTTTCCAATGGTACAAACGGAGCAGCTGTGAAAGTGGAAACTTTTTAACTTACCGGTAAATATAATAAGGAGTTCACAATGATCGTTCACGTAATGTGATGGTTTTTGGACGAAATAAGAAAAGTTTTATAAACACATACACACGAAGGCCGATAACAAGTTTTTCGAAGTTTGTATCTCTGGTGATGGAATTTTAATCCTTTTGTTTGCAAATTTTTATCTTGAGTATCAATTTCGTCGATTTTCAGTCTCTAATTCATTCATTGTCTTGAGATGGTTAAAAAAATTTACGGGAATTTATCGAATTTCCAATTTCCAATTAGAATTTATAAAAGTAGCAATAATTATTCAGTAGCAATAAGTTTGTACCAAATACATATATATTGTCCACAGCTGCTCAGTCTTAATTTGATTGATTTAAATGAAATATTTTTGTCGGAAAAAGAGTGCTAAAAGAAGAATCTTAAATTTCTTTTCGATTGCTTGCATAACTGGAAATAATTACATAATTATATGCATCCGGAGTTTCGCGCTGAGGGCATATCTACACATCTCACTTCATTTGGCCATAATCACAATGAGCCACATACCTGTTCTCCGGGTCTCAGAAGAATGCGAGCTGGCGCTCCCTCTCTTTTCCCCCTGTCACCTTTCCTTCGACCACAACAGTACGTCCCATTAACGCACTTTGTCCACATGTTGCAAACAGCTCTGTCGTCGTCCTAAAACGAAAAAAATCAACTATAATATATATTTTAGGCGACACTTTAGGACCACTGTTGCAGTTATATCGCTAAACGACAGTGCCTTTTCGACATAAACTCTCGAAAAATTTCGTGTAAACGTTCACAATGCCATATGGCGCAAAAAAAAAAAAATAAGAAGCAAGTTGCTTGAGAAGAAATAGCATGGTTCAAAATATAATAATATGAATAAAAGTGAAATCGGGAAGGCATTGATAGCGACAGGAAACCATTCGCTTTGCACTGAACATGGCAATTTAAGCCTTTTAAAGTCGAAATCAATACCATGGCTTTTTGTAAATTTTTTTCTAAAGTGTTCGATAAAATTTTTCATTTCAAAGTGCTTAAACAGACAAATACATTTTTTTATTGTCAATATATATATATAAATCTATTCTAAACAGAATTGCTTGAGCTTAATTAAATCTGATTATTTTGTTGACAGTGAAAAGATGAAAAACCTTTTGACCAAACATTTCGGCTAATTCCGCCTGCTTATCGTTAAGTTTCGAATTAGTGTGTGTACGCGAAAAGCACGTGGTGGCGACGTGATACGCCGACAATACGTCGACCGCGTGTCGAGCAGAAGGTGGCCACGACGAAGACGACGACGACGATGACGAAGAGGACGAGAGGACGTCGAGGATTCTGCTCAAAAGTGGGGACGAAGGAACACGCCTTCTGCGTGCGCGCAACGGAGAGAAGGATCGTGCAGGAGCAGCGGAAAGGACGAGGAGGAAACGTGAAGGTGCAGATGGTGGAAATCTCGGGGAATAAAGCCGAAGTAGAAGAGAGAGAGAAAGAGAGAGAGAGAGAGAAAACCGCGGCCCCTAGAGGGAGGGAAGAAGGTTTTCTCTTCCTCTTTTTTTCGAAGATGGGGAGAGAGACACGGAAGGTGAGTAGCACCTGGTGGTTGTCAGGGCCGGTGGTAGTGACGGTGCCTTCTGGTGGTTGGTGTCAGTGGCGATGATGGTGGTAGTGCTTGATGGACGATGCAACAGATGCTCCCGAAGTAGTTTTTTGCGTGTACTAAACGTGATGTTGGGAATTCATGACGCGGAAATCCGAAATCAAGTCCATCGATTCCGATCGCTGTAAGAGCTTCATCCAACCAATTTGATGTAATAAATTTCCTAATAAGTCAGCATTAAGAAACGAAAACTTGGAAAACGACAGTGTAAGAGAGAGAGAGAGAGAGAGAGATCTTGAGAAAAAAGCGCATTAAAGAAAATATTGTAGAAATGCATTCTAAAAAATTTAGTGAGATTGATGCTGAAAGCGGCGAAGCAAAAAATAAAATTTATATACAGGACGTCCCCGTTTCAAATGCTCCAGACAAATATCTCAGAAATTAAGAGAGAAAGAAGAGTTGTGTAGGATTTCAAAGGGGGGAAAAAGATGGTAAGACGGCGTTTCTCTACCCGGATGGAAAGGATTGCCAGGATTCTCCGGCACCCTCTTGCCGCGCGCCGTCTGGCGTCGAAAATAACTCTCCCGGGGTTAAGAAAAGGAAAGGGGTGCGCCGATCCCCGATGTTCCTGGCATGACGCGAGATTTGTGAAGCTCCTTTTCGCTCTACCCTTTCCCAGCCCTTGCGTCCGTGTTCCTCGTCCGCTTCCGACGAAGGGCGTGAGGAGCACAACGAAACGTGGGTAGGAGGAAGATGGTGGAGACCTTCTGTCGACCCAGAAGGCACCGCGGGGTGAAATCCGCGGTAGCAGAAGGAGTCAGTCGTGCAGCGGCAACCGATTGAGCAGCAGCAACGATTGAACGGGCCGACCTACCGGCTGGCGAACCCTCGTCCTGTGGCAATCGTTTGCCGATGATCCGTCCCTCTCCTCCTCCTGCCCCTTCTTCGCGTCACTTCGCGATTCCCCTCCGAAATCTGTGTTCTATTCCGGAACTCTCGGGCGAATCCTTTCTTCCGGCCTCTAACACCTGTCTGTATTAATCTGACGAGCAAAAAATCGCGAAGGTGGTGAAAATATTGGGAATATTCCGTTAAACGGCTGACGTTTCTCACTGACGGTTGTTTTTTTTTTACAATTTAATATTGTCAATTTATAAAATATATTGTAATATTATTCGCTTAGTATTTATATACTTCTATCTAAAGTTATCGCACAATTATTACTGTCCGTTAGAGAAGCAATCACAAAATTTCAATCGTTGTTGAACAATACGAAAGAAAAGAAGCGAAATAAGAAAGATTGCACAACCATAAGTTAAGCGTAACCGAACACAGGAATATCGGAGATTATTTTTTTTTATCAAGAATACAAGAGAGAGACGAAAATATTCGTTACTTGTGCGCGTAACCTCATATTTCCTTTTGTACCTGCGAAACGTCCCCTGACGCACCCTGACCTTGCCGAAGTCGAATCGAACAGCCCCCAACAAACGCTTCTCCCCTACGCTTCACTCCACGTATATTTACCTGCGTGGCAACGGTCGTTTCGATGGACGGAAGGCCGGACCGGGTGAAAGGTGAAACCCAGAAAGTGTAGTAGTCAGGAGTCAATAACGAAGAATGATCGAGGGGCCATTTCCCACATTCGAAATAATTAAGGGCACGTCACGTCACTCTTAGGTCACGTCGAATTGACACGCATTTATTGTTGCCGCACTTTATTGCACGTTACGTATATTTACGCAGTTGCGCTTTGCGAAGGTTGACAGCGGCTCCCATTAAAGATAAAATAATTCGACACACTATATTTATTACCGCAATGCGAAGGAAAGTATACCGAGAGCCTTAATTAACCCGTCATAAAATATCATATTGTACGACTCGTTCCTCCACGCGCCACGATCTAAGGTAAATTTTCATAATCGGACGAAACGCAATTAACGCGTCATTACCGGATCTCGACATGGTCCACAATTCGTAGTTTCGCTTTACGAGCTGTGATGTCGCCGAGTAAAGTGTGTGTCCAACGAAACGGCACGCGCCTCTACACGGTGTGCCACGTTGAATTGTAATAACAGATTTCTGAATTTAAAATAAACTTTCCCTGGAAAAAAATATTTTCAAGTAATTAGATAGAAGATGAAGAATGCATCGCGGGGATTTCGCGATTAAGACTCGAGCGGCGGATAAATAATGACATCATACTGTCCAGTTAATTACTTGCGCGCTTTAATTGGATTTTAATCACTTGGTGCGATATTCTCGCCGAGGAAAACTCGATTGCTGTGAATTAACCGAGGAATCTGTCATTTCGAATTTTGCGCACGGTCACTCTGTATGAATATTCACGCCGACGTGCGTCGCGCAATTATGCGGAAACGATCGTGCATCGAACCGCAGTTATTAACTGATCGTCCAACAGGTGCAGGCCGTACATACATCCAGACTGCAATATTGTGCCCGACACGGGCTCATTACGCGGGAAAGTTGCAATGTTGGAACCGCACGCGCTCCGGCGCGCGGCTCCAGAAAGTTGGACGAAAGTAGCTCTCGCATCTAATCGCTCGACAATTTAATAATTTCATAAGGCTTATTGTTGGTTCTCGAATGAGATACGTGCCACTTGCGCGGCCCCGTCAGAGAGGCCACCGTACGGCTCACAGGTGGACGCGTGCACGCGAAGGTGCCAAAATGCCGCGTGGCTCCATTTAAGATCGCTCTCGCCCACTTTACAGCGAATCCCCTCGTGAAACCGTTCGCCGATCTCGATTCGCGGCACCGATCGTCTCGTTATTCCTTCCATCTATGGATATGTTTAATTATGCGCGCTGGACCATCCCCCGTTCACTTTGCAGGTTATAATCGACGCAAGCCCGGAATTGTGACACTGATAATTAGAAACATATTTTAATTTTACATCCTAAATTGAAAATTAATAGCGTTATTATATCTTCATCAGTTATATCGATTGTAGAAAATTTGCACCTTGATATATGTTAATTTTTGAAAAAAACGAATTTAATAAATAATTTATTAAACAATTTTTTTTATTTGTTATTATGTATATGAAAAACGACCAGAAAGGTATTTTAATATCACAGTCGTGTTAATAAATATGAAATCGTGAATAAAGTCATATTTTTCTCTTGTGAAAAAAATAGCAAGCGACATATTTGCGATTCCCTCACTGAAAAATAAGCGTCTTAATACGATCTTTGTGTTCGTCATTCTTCGTGCATTCAGTCGATTCAACAATAATCGGATTACGCTTCTTACTGAGACGTCACTGCCTCGCCCTTTTCAAATATTTTTTTTATTCTGCATTTGAAAAATCGATCGAGCTAAACTTTCCTGCAACAGGATTTTCAGATTAATTAATCGTATCATGCTCAGTAGAAATTTCACGATCTCCCCCCCCCCCCTCACTCTCTTTCTCTTTCTCTCTCGAGTTGTACTTCCTCGGACAGCGAAATCGATTATGTTTTTATCGCTACTTCGTTCGTGCGCCCTTTGCCTCCTTTTCAGGAACAGAGACCCGACTATAATCCAGCTACTAAACCAAGGATGAACAGCTGCCCCTGCTTTCGACGAGGGTTTCCTCTAGGTCGGAAATAGAAAAAAAATGATAAAGCGTTGCTACGACAGAAATAAATGCAGAGATTCCGAGAAAATAACAATAAGCGAACTCAAAATTTAGACTCGTATAATTTTAATAAATTCAAATTTTTTTTATATGAAACACTTAATTTTCTTCATTCAATTTCAACGACATTTCTGTTATCACGATGTGGAGCTCAATCTTGCTCAATCTCAGTATGAGAATTCACACTGCACTTAAAATTGTTTCGATTTTAATCCCATAATGAAAGGCAGTGATTAAAATGTAAAAAACTTGTTCTCGATCTCTTTTCTTCTGATATATGCGTTTTCAAGCAAGCGTGAAAAATTATATTTACGCGGGATCACGAAAAATTCGACAGACGTAAAACACGTCGAAGCCATTGCACCACAGACGATGTTAGCGAAAGCATTTAATGAGAGAATGTATCTCAATCAGCCTCCTTTCGTG